CCGCCTGCTTCCCCCGGCTCAGCCAGCAGAGGGCTGCAGGCTGCCGAGGAAAGGCGCCAGGCCCCCAGGGACGCGACAGTGCCCTCTGCACTGTGACGGGAGGGCTGGGCTCCAAAGCTCCAAAACAGAAACAGCTCACATTTAGAGAGCATCAGGCATCAGAGCTTCGCTTATCTTTCCTTAACCCCTCGCGGCCGGCAGGCTGCCATGGTGATTCTGCCCAGCCAGGATGAAAAAGGAGCAAAGAGGGATTGGGGACCTTGGGACCTGGCCGGTGCCCCTCGGAGGGACGTGCTGACCAGCGCAGGCTCGGGGATGAGCAGTCAGTCACCAGGCTCCCGAAATGGGGCTCCTCTGGGGCACGCGTTCATCCAAAGGCCCACCGATTTCAGAGAAATTCCCTGGAACCTATAGTGGTGTCTGCACCCCAAGTTCATGACCACACACCGGGACTTGTTTTCGAGCTCTGAAGCGAACAGGCCTCTCAGTCTTGGTCAGGTGGGAGAGCACACTCTTGCATTTGGTGTTTTCGGTTGACTCTGGAACTCCAAGTGTTTGAACCTGTCACCCTGAGACCCATGACAGGCCCCTTAAATGTACAGCTCACGTCGTGGGTGAGAACCCTTGTGAAGGTGTGTCTGTGCCGACCATGTCCGGGCCAGAAGGTAGGCGCTGACAGTATAGGGCCATCAGATCGGTTTGCCACCAGGAGGCAGACTGTGCTGCCCACAAGGCACAAGACACACGGTCTCCCCCAGCGGGTGCAGGGGGGTGGGGGGTGCACAGGGAGGACCTCTCTTCCTGAAGCATCTGTCATGAGATCAGTCACACTGACAATCTCCCACGGGAGGACGAGGACATATCGTCAAGGAGCCTTTGAAGTACAAAGATCTTTCCTCAACATACAGAATTCCCAAGTTACTGAGATAAATGAGGGGAGATCTGACATTTACTGCACATAATTTAAATTCAAATCGGCTCCCAGTAAGGAGAAATTACAAGGTAATCTGAACTGTGAGCCTTGCACTCTGACCCTTCTGCTGATGTGGGCTTTTAAATGGCTGCAGGTCTGCCTTAATTTTTATAATTTAGAGAACAAAACCATGTTGTAAATATCATGAAGCTAGTATTCTTTATTTTTGGCATGAAGTTATCCCCATCTGTGAATTATTTCTCTAAAAAAAAAAACATTCAAAATAAGCAAGTGTTTTTCTCACTTTGAAACATCTGATCTAAACATGGGAAACCAAATCGCTGACAATGTTCCAAGTGCAGAGGCATGCACAGGTGCGGGGAGTGAATTTAGGAGGAAAGGTTTCCCCAGAGGCATGTGCCGGTTCCTTGCCACCCAGCTGTCACGGACGCAGGAATATGGCTCTGGCAACCTGCAGGCCCACGACTCTGCTCTCCTGGTCCGAATGCAAAGAGCAAAGGAGCCCCTGATATTTCTGTGCAGGATCGTGGCGGGGTCTGAGCTTGGGGGACACCGCCAGGCCTGGCCCTGACGGGGTGAAATGTGATACGCTTTGATTCGCTAAATCATGCTGGGAGACCAGCCGGAGAGCCTCCCGTGCAGTGTTAGAAGGATCACGGCCACTGGCCCAAGAACCACGGCTGCTGCGACTCCTTCAGGCCCCAGGCAGCTGCTGCTGTGCAAGCAGGGCTGGGCTCATGGCCACAGCCCCACACACAATCCCTCCTGCCCCCCACCCAGCTGCCTGCACGGAGTGGAGCCCGGAGCTAAAATTGCAGGAGAGTCGGTACAAGAGGAGGGGAGGGGTCCTGAGAAGTGAGAAAGAGCCAGAACTGCACAGTCATTGCCAAAAGGCGTTTGCAAAAGAGACACTGAAAGCTGGACAGGGAGGGGCGGACGGAGGCAGCTGCCCGCAGCGCCCACCCTGGGGAGGCTGATGGACAGCAGAGCGTGGTGTGGTCCCTTGGACTTGGAGTAATGCAGGAAGCTTTGACATCACAAAATACTCGCGCCAGAAATAAATCTCTAATGCTGAAATATATTCATTTTTCTTTCAAAAGGACGTCGCAAAAACACAAAGGCCAATATAATCTGTTGGAATCCCACAGACCGTGATGAGTAAAACGACAGGCCAGTCCCAGAGGGATGTGAAAGGCTCCCACTGTCACGCCCTGCGGTCACCACACCCACTAACTACGCTGGAAACAAGGCCGGGCTCGGGCAGCCCACCGGAGACCCTCGGCTGGGCAGGGGCCCCTCCCCTCCCCCACGTGTGCGCTCACCCCGGGGGCTTGTGGAAAACACTTCACCCTCTGCCTGGACAGGAAGTTCAGGGTTTATCAAGCATGTGACGCTCGCAGAGCACCGTCGGCACACGGGGTCCGTAAAACAGTCTCGAAGTTCCTGCTTTTCCAGAACACTTTTCTGGGCCTTTAATCTGTGTTCTTGACACTTATTTGATAAAACACGGGGTGCAGTTGTCATGTGCAACCCAACCTCCTAGGCTCGGTGGGGGGTCCACAGGGAAAGTGCCTCCCAATGCAGGAGCGAATGCCCACAGCGTTTGCTGAAGACCAGTGTGGCCACTGCAGCCAGGCGGTGTGGTCGAGGGTCAGCCACTGTGGCCTGGCGTGGCCACTACTGGGGCTTCCAGGAGGAACCAGCCCTGCCAGCACCTTGATTTCACCGTCAGGCTGATTTTAGACTGTAACCTCCGAGTTTAAGAGGATACATGACACATTTGTGTTGTTTTAAGCCACAAAGGCTGGTTCAACATTTGAAAATTAATCAGTGCAGTCCATCACATCTACAGGCTAAAGAAGGATCACATGATCACATCAATAGGTGCAGAAAAAGCACCTGGTACTGGTTTGCTGCGAGCTCTTGTGAACAGGTGCTGGGTTTTGTCAGATGCTTGGCCGTAGGGCTGGGAAGCCTGGGCAGCCTCCTAGCATTGTGTCCGTGCTGAGATTCACTGGACAAGACAGACAGTCTCTGCTCCATTGGGAGCCCAGCACCTAATGGGAATACGGCACCTGATCTCGCAGTGATAACGAGGCACACACTGGGGGAGGGGCGGGGCACGTTCCCGTGGACGAGTGAGAGCTGTGAGCACGGCAAGAACAGCTCCAGTGGGAAGCCATTTCCTTGCCTTTCAGCTTCTAGGGCTGCCCCATGAGGTGACATGACCACTGGTTTGGAGGATCAGGATGCAGACATCCTCTGTGGACCATGGGTGCCTCAGTGTCCCCAGCCAGACCGGCTGTGGAGTCACTCAGGGTCCTTCCTGTGCCCCCACTCTAGCTGTGCTGTCGTGGGCCCTTCCCTTCCCTGCTCAGAGACACGGGGACGGAGGAGGGTGGCCTCCTGCCTTTTTCTGTCTTACATCTGCACCTCGGCTTTCTATCTTGAACTGGACAGACAAGAGTTTGAGCTTTTGTTCCCTGGGTCTATGCAGAGGCTGCCCCTTGGGGAAAAGGAGATTCCCCACCCAGTGAGAGAGGCTCAAGGAAGCAAGAAAGGAGGCACGACGCCCCTCAAACCTGATACCATCTGTCTGCACGTGAAAGACCTCCACCGCTCACCTGCCTCCAGGCAGTGTCAAGGGCCACTCGGTCAGGAACCCTGGGTTTCTTTTTCTTTTAAAGATTTTTTTTTTAATTGGGGGATTGGGGGGATGGGAACAGTGCTGGGGAATTGGGGGAGGGGAACAGACAAGTTGCTGTCGTTTTGTTCTTCAGTCTAGTTGTGGAGGACATTGCTTCACTGGCCCAAGTTGGCACCATCATTGCGCTCTTCCCGGATGAGGCAGATCAGTCGCCAGCTTCTGGACAGCTGCTCACTGCGGCTGCTGGCCGCTCACTGTGGCTGCTGGCTACACACGGTAGCCCATGGCAACCCACTGTAGCAGGGGCTGCAGCCTACGCTGTCGCCAGTAACCCACGACAGCCCAGTCCCAGGTCGAGCTGCCATTCACCATCTTAGCTGTGGAGGGCAGTGTCACTGGCCCTCATATGTGGGATCCGAACCGGGGCCCTCTGGCGTCCCAAGCCAGATCTTAACCATCGCGCCACGTGGCCGGCCCTGAGTTTCTTTTTCTTGATACAAAGGGAATGCCAAGTCTGGGGAATAGGGTTCCTTTTAGTGGGTGGGGCTCTGACGGAGGCTTAGAAGCCAGAGGGAGGAAGGGGTTGGTGAGCCACTGGGGGGCTGTAGGGAAGGGGAGGGCGGAGGAGGGTGGAGGGGGTGGTGGAGCACAGGGCTGGGGAAGGCTGGACTCCTTGCAGGAGGGAGCCGGGGGAAGGAAGCAGCCCTCAGCCCGGCCGCTACAGGCCCAAAAGGGACCAGGCTCTGGGCAGGAAAAGCACGAGTGATTTCTCCAGCATGGCTCAGGCCCCTCCTTGAGTGGATGCTGCAGCAACACTGAGTCAGTCGCCAGCAGCTGGAGGCCTACGACAGCCATCCTCCCACCCCACGGAGACCCGTCCTGGGCGGGGGCACGATCGGTTCAGCTCACGGGCCACGGCATGAGGGTGTATTTCTGGCAAGGGAGGCATAGCTCGGGCAGAGCATGCGCTGGGGTTCTCCCCGCTGCTTAGCCATGCCAGGGAGGGGGGCGGGGGTGTTCTCCCCGTTTCATCATACCTGGGCCTTGAGGTTAGACCTGAGCTTAAACATGCTGCGAGTCTGAATGACTGCAAAGCCTTGGGCAAGTGACGTATTCTCAGCCTCAGTTTCCTCACCTTAAAAATGGGATGTCAGAGTGAAGGTGTAGAGTTCTGTGAGCATTAACTGGTATCATGTAGCGTGCTTGGGGCTGTTTGGACTCTTGGGGAGCACTCGGGGCCACTGAGAGCACACACTGGTCCCTCGTGCTGTGCCTGCCAGACCTCAGGAGGTGCCCTGTTGAAATACAGGTGCGGTTGGCACTCAGCTGCTCGCACACGGCAACAGCGTCACCATGTCGTCGGGAATCAATGAGTGAATTAAGTGCCTAGACACACACGGCAAAGAACAGCTGGACAAATGAGTGGACACGAATCATTATTTCACACAGACACGCTGTCTCCGTTTTCTTTCCCTGTCCTCGGCATTACCGCAACTTAATGGCACAGGACCACAGCCACCTGTCCTCTCACAGCTCCGGAGGCCAGAAGTGGGCTTCACTGGCTCCACTGGCTCTCTGTCCAGGCGAAAATCAAGGCACCGCTTGGTGGGCTGTGTGCCTGTCTGGAGGCCCCCGGAACCAGTCTACTTCCAAGCCCTTCCAGGCGGGTGCCTGAATTCAGTTCCTTGCGGTTCGCCCAGGACTGAGGCCCCATTTTCTTGCTGACTCGGCCAAGGACAGTCTTCGCTGCCATATCCCTTCTCGTGCTCCAGCAAGGGCAGGCTAAGTCCCCCACACACCCTGCATCTCTCGGAGTCCAGCTGGAGAAAGTGCTGGGCTTTTCTAGGTGCTCATGAGATGAGGTCAGGCACACAGAGATAATCCTGGCTAATCTCCTACATTAGCGTCTGCAGCCTTAATTACATCGGCCAAGTCCCTTTTGTCCCGTCATGTAACATACGTAGTCCTTTCTTTTTTCCTTCCTGCCTTCCCTTTCTTCATCATTTGGAGAAGAATTCAAGGAGCCAGTCCTTTTGGGCAGGAGTAAAGAGAAAAGGTGGAATTAAGCGCAGTTCCTTGTTGAACTCCGGCAGTGAAGAGGCGGCAGGTTATAAAGAGCTTCATTCGTAATCCCGAAAACTTGGGAGCAATCCAGGCGTCCTTCAGTGGGCGAGGGATAAATACACCGCTGCATCCAGAAGTTGGGTAGGAAAATTATCCTCTACCCTCAAGGTTCTTCTGGCTGGACTAAAAATCAAATCAACACAAAACAGATTAGCAGAGAAAAACAAGCTGTCGTTGAATAACATGTCTGCCTCTGTACACGTGGGAGAGACCCAGGCACACTGAGGAACTCACCAAAGTGGCGGAAGCCATCACCGTAAACACCACCTTCAGCTAAAGACAAAAGAAGATGCTGGAAGTGGAGAGTCAGCTATGGGAGGTTGTGAGGAAAAGCACAAGAAACAAGGGCCAGGTCGTCACGCAGACTTGCGTCCCTGCCGTCTCCGTTGATGGTGAAGGCTGGCCTGGTCCAGTGAGGGAGACGCTCGTACAGATGGACACTGCCCTTGCATGTGTAAACGCCCTTCAGTGGAACTTCTACTGGCTTCTCAGAGCTTCTCCCACATCTGCTGTTTCTTAAAATTAACCGGCCTCAAATAATCAACATCCCAAAGTGGCATATTTTAGGGTAGCCAACTCTGCTCCCCTTCACAGACAATGGAACATTATTCAGCGATAAAAAGAAATTATTGGGGGCCGGCCGAGTGGCTCAGTTGGTTAAGAGCTTGCCCAAGAGTGCGAGCTCTGAGCAACAGGGCTGCCGGTTCAATTCCCACATGGGCCAGTGAGCTGCACCTGAGCTGAGCTGCTGCTGAGCTGCCAACAGGTGGCAGGATGGCTCAGCTGGTGAGAGCACGTGCTCCTAACAAGATTGCCTGTTCGATGGTGGCTATGCCCGCCCACAGTTAAGACTGAACTTGGCACCTTGAGCTGAGCTGCCGCCCAGATGGCTCAGTGGATAGAGTGTGCGCTCTTAACAACAAGGCTGCTGGTTCCACTCCCACATGAGATGGTGGCTACGCCCACCTGCAACTAATTGAGCACAACACTTGGAGCTGAGCTTGCTGCGCCCTCCACAACTAAGACTGAAGAACAACTTGGCTGTTCCCCTCCCCCAATTCCCCAATAAAATAGTTTTAAAAAGTTAATTATTTATCAAGACATTAAAAATACAGAGGAATTTTAAATGCACATTACTAAGTGAAAAAAGCCAACCATAAGGCATTCTGGAAAAGGGAAAACCAGGGAGATAATAAAAAGATGGGTGGTTGCCAGGGGTTGGGCGCAGCACAGAGGACTTTTACGGCATGAAAATCCTGTGTGACACTATCATGATGGATGCATGTCAGCACATGTTCGTCCAAACCCATAGAATGTGCACTGCCAGGAGTGGACCCCAACGTCAACTATGGACTTTGGGTAATTATGGCGTGTCAGTCAGTCTGGGTTCATCCTTGGTAAACTATGTACCATTCCGATGAGCGACGTGGATAAGGGCGGAGGCTTTGTAGGGGTATATGGGAAATCCCTGTACCTTCTTCTCAATTTTATTGTAAACCTAAAGCTGCTCTAAAAAAATAATAACAAGTCTTAAATTTTAAAAAAAAAGAAAAAGAGTCCAAGACACAATTGCAGCCAATGCACTCTATGATGCAGCTGTGTGTGCAGCCCCTGGCTGCACGGTGAGGATGAATGGCCCGGGGGACGCACGCCGGGGCTTCCTGTGGCTACTCCCTCCGGTCAGCCGGGCCAGGGCGAGCAGCCACGTTCTATGCCTGGTGTGTTCAGAGTGGAAGCCCGCTCCTCACCAATAGGGTGCATACACCTGTGATACCTCGGAGCTAGCTACTAAATCTGAACTTGAAAACAATCCACACTTAGTATTTTAAATGGTATTTAGTTACCAGAGTCTAAATAAATCCAAGAAGAAAAATTTTTTTTAAGTTACGCAGGGAAGAACAACTAACAGGGTATGTTCCTCTGGGATTTCCTTCAGACTTTTAAGATATAAAGCAAGGCAGCTCACTCTCCTCGGGCATATATTACTTTTGTGTTACTTTTGTTGTTTTTAAATTTAAGTTTAATCGTAGCTAAGTAACCAAAGAATACATTCTAAACTAAAACTAACTATCTTGCCATCACTTCAAAAGACTTACCTTAAACACACATTAAAGCCATTGCACACAAGAGAGTCTGACTCACGTTTTCAACTGCTCAGGAGCAGCAGCCTGGCTAAATCAACAAGAAAAAAAGATTACGGCCCGTTTCTATGCCTCTCACTGTCCTCTCCCTTTCTCTTAAACGCTCTCAAAGCAGGTTTGCACCGTCCACTCCGAGACTGCTCTCCTCCGGGTCAGAAACGGCACCCCGCTCGCGACAACCAGGGGTCCCTCTCGGCGCTCAGCACGCAGCGTTTAAGGGCTGCCGTTCCTTCCCACCTTCACGGGCTCCACCCGCTCCCGGTTCTCCGGGAGCCCCGCACAGGTGGCGCCTCCTCAGCCTCCTTCCGGGCTCTGCGCTCGGACCTCGTCCCCGTCTGCCCGCCCTGCCTCCCAGCTCACCTGGTCGCTCCTGGCCGCCATCAGAGAACACAGGCTTCCCGGAGCTCACACGGCGACGGAGGAGAGAGGTCTGCAGCCGGGCCCGGCAGGGACCGCGGGCCGGGAGGACGCGCTCAGACGCGGCGCGCTCCAGGTGCAGCCCCCCATTGGCTGCTCCGCCGAAGGACCGCGCTTCTATTGGCCGCGCTCATTGGCTGGGGGCGGGGCGCCTCGAGACCGCCTATAACTCCCGAGACAGGCGGGCGAACAGCGGCGCCCCGGCAGCTGGTCTTCAGAGGAGCGCTGGCCCGGGGGCACCGCTGGTCACCGCTGGCCGTGACGTACTCTGGCCGCTCCGGAGCACCCCCTTTCGGGCCTGGGGCGCCGCACGGGCGGTTTGCGCAGGCGCACTCGGAGCCTCCCAGCAGCTCCCGGCGGCCCCGCCCCCGCCCGCGGCCGCGGAGGAGGCGGAGGGGGATGACGTCATTGAGCAGGGCGACGGGCATTGGGCGCCATTTTGAAAAGGGAAAAAAATCCCTCCCCGGCGCTGGCGGCGGCGGCCAGGCTGAGGTGCTCCTGCGGCAGCTGCGCTGCGGCCGCCTCCTCCGTCCGCCGCCGCCTCGGCGCCCGCCAGCCCCTGGCCGGCCATGGCAGGTGGGGTCCGCGCGGGGCGGGGCGGGAGGCGCGGGGCCTGCGGCGGGGGCGGAAGAGGGGGACGGGCGGGTCCGCGCGGCCTGACGCGCCCTGTGTGTCCGCAGGAGCCGGAGGCGGCGGCTGCCCCGCGGGCGGCAACGACTTGCAGTGGTGCTTCTCGCAGGTCAAGGGGGCCATCGACGAGGACGTGGCCGAAGGTAAGGCCGCGCTCCTCCGCGTCCCCCCCCAGCACCCGCCCGCGGCCCTCGGGGACCCTGGTCTCGTGGCCGCTCCGGGGAGCTCTGCCCGGGTGGAGGCGCGCCCGTGGCCCTGAGCGTGCGCGCCGGGTCCCCCGTCCGAGATCGCGGGCCGGCCCAGCGGGCTCTGGAAGGAGCCCAAGGTCACAGAGCCTGCTCGGGAGCTCGGGTCCCTGGCGGGGGTGCTGGGCTCTGGGTCCTGGTTCCGCTGCAGGTGGCTGCCTCCTGCACCTGGCAGAACTATGGAAATCATTGCAGAAACGGGCCTCAAGAAACAACATCGGGGTACCTGCAGTGGGAAGGCTCAGTTCCCCACCCGGGCGCTCTGGTCACCTGTGGGTCTTGGGCAGGCTGCTTGGCCTCGGTTTCTTCCTCTTTAAAAGCCGGGCTGGGATTTCATTATCAATTCTTTGGAGTTCCTACTGCAGATTTTACTCTTGAACCTCATGATATTACTTGAAGTCGATTGGTCTTTTCCTTAATCGTGGCCCAGAATGAGCCAGGGCGCACGGTGTCAGGGCGGTGGGCGGGACGCCGCTGCCCGCGCAGCTGCGCGTCGGCGTGAAGCGAGGCGCTTCTTCCCGTCCACACGGCCGAGTGAGTGTAGCGCTGACCCCGAGAAACTCAGAAGTTCCATTACAGCCACATAGTGACTTCTTGTGGTTCAGCCATCTTCCTGAGCATTGTGAACCCTTAACCTTCTCATAGAAATGGTTTGTCTTTGCACCGAATACACCTTGTTTGCCCCAAGTCACTGACAGCCTCGGCCCTCCTCCTCGGCCCGCCCCTGACCTTTTGCATCCGTGTCCTTCGCCGCTGGCAGCACTGACACCTGCAGATCCTTGGCCCTAGGACAGCGCCTGCTTATGAAGCAAGTAAACCGCGCTCTAAGAAATGTGTAGAGGTCCATGATTTGAGATGCAGCTAGGTGATTTTATATAACCTAAGTGATTTGATTCTACTCAAATTTATTTAAGCTACCGTATTTCCCCATGTATAAGATGCACCTTTTTTAGAAAATTTTGGGATCTACAAACTGGGTGCGCCTTATACAGTGGTTGTAGGTCGTTGTCAAGTCATTTGAGAAGTGTGACATTTCAGATGCCATAGATGGAACTGAGGACGAGGCAATATACGAAGACCGTGACTCGTCATCAGACACAGATGAGGACAAGCTCATGGTTGGGGGTTTTGACAGTGATGAGGAGTTGTACGAATTTTATGATGAGTAAAACTTGAGTTCAATAACTTTATCTGATACATTTTTTTTCAAATTTCGGGCCCCAAAATTAAGGTGCGTCTTAGACATGGGAGCGTCTTAGACATGGGGAAATACGGTATATTACCTTTTTTCATTTTGTATATGCAAGTGGGTGACAGTTCAGCTTACTCAAAATTTCTATCAGGAGTAAAGCAAATCCTGTTTGTTTAGGGGTAGAGAGGGGAGAGGGTTTGATGCCTGTCTTAATTTCTGGTTCCTTTCTCTTTTTTTTAAGAAGTTGTTGATAAGCTGAATAAATTAAAATTTAAATCTAACTAAACTGACATTTTAAGTGGCATGTTGCACTTCTAAAATAGTTAGGCTGTCCTTTAAAAAAATCTTGACAACTGTTTTGTCCTGTGAATTAAACTGATAGGAATTTTTTGGCAGTTTTAAGTAGAATTGTGAATACATCTAAAAGCTTGGTATTTCAGGCTATCTTTTTCTGCGAGATTGTTTTATGGTAATGGCCCCAGTGTTTTTTATTGTTGTATGTACTCAGAGCTTTGTGTCTTAATCCATGTATGCTCTGGCCTCAGTAATCCATCAGGGTAGCACATTTATACATCTTCCTTTTGTCATGTTGTTGGTCAAGTTGTGTTCTTTTGAGTTGTGTTATTCCAGTAGAAGTTGATGATAAAGGAAAATGTCATTGTTAACAACTAGTGATTGTGAAGCAACGAGAGTGAAGAAGACGGTCAAGAAGCTGGTTGTGCCCGAACACCTTGATGAAGAAATGTCGGGAAGCGATGACAGGAGGTGGGCAAGTTAAGGGGTGCTCGGACCAGAAATTTATTTGCTAAGATTTGTGGCTCGTCAGGCGTTCAGTTCTTGAAGGTTTTGTTCTGGTCTGAGCTCTACCTGAGGAGTCCCACTGTAACCTTGGACCGTGTGCTTTCCTCGGCCATGGGTGATGGGACAGCGACTGAGATCAGGCTGGGGGCCTCTGGTGACCTGAGTAAGGACAGCACCTCGTGAGCCTCGGGTGGCGTAGGCTCCCTGACTTTGAAGATTGAGGCGCGGGCACAATGGAGGGAGGCTCTTGATTTCCTCTTGTCTTTAAAGCTAGTCGTGTTGGGACACTTGAGTCCCAACTCCTGAAGAAAGTGGTGTACTGTGTAAAATTTGGTGCCCTTTTTTCTTTTTTGTAAGAACAGGGTTTTGCTCATAGGTCAGGTCAGCCATGGTACCATCAGGGATTTCCCATCTCCCTGCGAGCAGGAGCAGTGCTGGGCTCACAATTTGGAGATTAGTGATTGTCCTGCTGATGACAAAGTGCATGAGTGACGTCACTGCTGCCGTGCCTCACTCTCCGTCCCGTACCGCAAGCTGGCTGTGGCCATCGATGGCCCCGAAGGTGAATTAGGTGAGCTGCTTTTCCTAGGTGAGTGAGTGAGTGAGTGAATGAGAATCCTAACCCCCAGGGAGGATTCCAGAGGAAGTGAGAAGTTGTTTGGTAGCTGGTGCCTCCAGAGACCTGCGCTCTGAACGGTGATCACTTTTTGGAAGCTGTTAAATGTGCAGATTTGTCATGCATGATGTTGACACCATCACCCAGCCCCGCTCCCTTTCCTTAGACGATGCACTGGGTGGATGTCGTTAGCAGATGCCACACAGTACTGTAACCTCGCTTCTCTGTCTTGAGCAGAGTGTAAGCACCTCAGTCTTGAAACTGGGTGCCCCAGCCCCTCGCCCTTGTGGAGGTCCCAGCCCAGAGCTGGTGACAGCTACCTGTGTCCGTCGCTCTCATCCTCACACAACCTCAGGAGGGAGGAACTGTGTGTTGTTTCCAGCTGTAGGTTCAGAAGCCAAGGCGCCCAGGCCAGATGACTTGGTCAGAACTGCTGTCTGGCAGAGCCAGGGTTTGAAGCCAGGCCGACTGGCTCCAGGGCCCACACGTGCTCTACTGCTCCAGTGACCATGTGCGGCCAGTACTGGTGCAGCACCCCCTGTGGGATGGACATCCCAGTCTTGGGATTGCTCCAAGTCCTTCTAAAGCCCAGGAGATCGCACCACCAGCAATTGTAGGAAATTGACCTGAAAGCAAATGAAAATGAGATGCCTTAAAGGAAGTGCCTCTCAAAGTGATATAAGATCAGTCACAAGGGTTCAAGAATGGCTGTTCTCAAAGTATTGGAATCCCAGAGAGGTTGAATCACTGGAACACCTGCCTGTCAGACAGACCACGCTCCTGCCAGGCCACTTCCCGCGACTGGAGCTGCCTCCTGGCAGGGGCTGGGTCTGCTCCCTTTGCTCTGGAATCGCTTTTCTGGAGAAACAGTGGGGAGGGGCTGGAGGAGGGCTTGTGATGAACTCCTACCTGGTTTCATGTGACTTTTTGTAAAGCTTGGTATCGGCGGTTCCTTTCAGAACTTGGAGTATTTTAATCAGATTCTTAATCCATGACCTGATCTGTTGCTTTGAATTAGACAGTCTTGTTCTGAAAAAACAATACTGAAGAAAACTAAAGGTTCATCTGTTTAACTCAAGCTTGAGTCTAGGGTGTTGTATAAATGATGATGAGTATCTGGGTAATCCGGCAGGGCCAGCCTTCCTGAAGGGGTTACATCGATACTATGAAAGCAAGGAAGAAACGTTTAAGTTGGAGAAGGGTGACAAAAATGAAGGGCACTTGGGCATCAATACCAGGAAATTGCTGTGTTTCATTGAATATAAGGTACATCTGATTTCAAAGATGTTTAAATGTGGGAAAATGTGCTCCTTAGAATCAGTGAAATATGGCAGTTGTAAATGCAAAGCTTTTCAGTCATAGTCACTATTTTTAGAGTAGGGTGATTGATTTTTTTCTGTGTATAAGAGATAGCATTCAGTATTTATCACTGACTTTTTTTTTTTAAGTTGCAATGGGACACATTGCCTGGTTGTTTGAATTACTCCCAGTCTGGTGTCTACATTCCACTGTGTCATGCCCATTTACTTAATACACTTAGACCATTGAGAAGGGCCTCCAGGAAAGCATCTTCTGGGGAAAGCCATCAAGGAAGAGAAGGATCTAGTAACATTCTGGCAGTTTCCTTTAGGAGTTTCGTGTGGACATTCTGCCTTTAGGAAATCAGACGTGTGTGGTTTTCTTAAGATTAATGCATTCGACGCACTTAGCACAGGTACGTCGTAACGTCTCTGAAATCAGGCTTCGTGTTCAAGAAGCTGGACTGATCTTAGTTACATAATCAGATTAAGTTTACAAGATTTATGGTAGTATTAAATCATTGTCCTTGATTTTCAGAGTCTGTTCCCATAGGAGGTTCTGGGTTCTGTGTGTCTCTGCCACTGATCAAGTCAGAAGGCCCTTTCTGAACCTTCGCCTGCTTCTCTAGCAACTACATCAGAAGGTTTTTGTTAGGATCAGACAATGTGCAGTGCTTTTGTAACCTGTAAAGTATTGCAGCTGCTTGGTTCAACCGTTAATTCTCAGGTATTTTAAGGTGTTTGGTTGTAGCTATATGTAAATATAAAAATAGCAATTTCTTGTTTTCTCCGATCCCTTCCATTGGGTCTGAACTCTTGGTTTTTCCATTATTATTCAGTGATCCTTCCCATCCCTTGAATTTTGCTCATAATCCTTTCCAAACTGGAACGTTATTTTTGTTTCCTGTCTGCCCTCCACATCCTATCCATCCTTGTAAACCCATCTCACATGCCACTTTCCTTGTGACTCACTCACTGCTCAGCCACTCTT